TTCCATTTATGTACTTCAAAAAGGTAGCCTGAAATCTCCTCCTCCCATCCCAGTGCTCTGGTTCCCAGTTCTTGGATGCACACGGGCCGCCCCTGTTACTAGATGTTTCCATATCCTTCTGGAGTTTCTTTGGGCAAACCTAAGTGTATATTCTTATTCATATATATTTTTATACATTCCTGCAGGGGCCAGCAAACTCTGAGTCACAGGCCAGATCTGGCCCATCACCTACTTTTGTCAGCCAGGTCTTAATGACGGTCACATTCATCCCCGTAAGCTCGCTGGCTGCTTCCAGGTGGAGCTCAGGGCGCTGACAGTGACTCTGTGCCTGCAGATTACTTCCTGTCTGGCCCTTCAAGAAAACATTTGCTGAGCTTCGAACTACAGGAAGCAGCCAAGCCCACTTCTCTGCCATTCACTCTTCCCCCCCGGGCCCCGTATCCCAGAGATGTTGCCCCAGCAGAGCGTAAGGAACGCGTCCGTCCCTTCTCACAGCTGCACAGTGCTCTGCCACATGACTGTGCTCTGTTTCGAGACGTCCCCACCGTGAGATTTTCGGGTGGTTGCTAACAGTTCTTGTCCCTCCTGCCAACAGTGCTGTGATCTGAGATACTCGCCACTTCCCACATGAGTGGGATGTTTGGAGGATACATTTCCAGCAATGTTTTTGCCCACTCTGGGTTCCCAGGACAGTGGGGAATATCTGTCCCTGAATTCCCTGAAATTAAATGCAGAAGGTGGCATACCTGTGAGTATTTTTCTGAGCAGAGCCTCAAAGGGCGACCCTGTGGTTGGACCCGGGCCCGAAAGGTGGGGATTGGGGTTTGGTTCTGGGGCCCAGGTTGGGCACTAACCAAGGTCATCAGCAAGCCTCCGGCCATCCTCAGTAGGCACGACCCGCTCATCTTCCAGGTCACACTTGTTCCCCACCAGGATCACCTGAGCGTTGTCCCAGGAATAGGTCTTGATCTGCGTGGCCCTGTGGAGTTTGAGGGCCATGAGGCTAGAAATGGGAGAGTCAGGGGGATAGGGTGAAGGTCAGGGTGTCAATGGTCCGCAAGCACTCACCAGTCCTGCACGGCGGCGAAGGACTCCTGGTTGGCCACGTCATACATGAGCAGGAAGCCCATGGCTCCACGGTAGTAGGCTGTGGTGATGGTGCGGTAGCGCTCCTGGCCCGCCGTGTCCTAGACACACAGCAGGGTCAGGCCACCAGCAGCTACCCTGTTCCCCACGCCACCCCTGCAGGGCCCTAAGCGGGCCACCACCCTGTGCTCACAGCCCCAGCCTGACGGGAGGCATGGCCCTGCCTCTGTGGAGTTCCCAGTCTGAGGGGTCAGTGGCCTCTCACAGACTTGGACCTCATCTCGAACAGACTCCATGACCCCATACAAGCGCCACCTGGGCCAGAGAGTACGGTCTCCATGCTGACACCCCGGTGCGCAATACCATGCTCATCATCATCGGCGGCCATGTTGGGAGCAAGAGCATGTCTCTGAGGAGCACACAGGTCTGTGGGGGATCCTGCGATGGGACCCACACCTCTTCCCCACTGGTCACCAGGACTTCTAACCCGCCTTGGGTTAGCAGCTGTCTGCCCCTCAGACCCTATAGGGCAGAGCACAGTCTCCTCATCCTGATGAAGTCACCTCATAGATAATCCGCCCCTCCGCCACTCTTCACACCTACCCCAATCCCCCTCCCTGACTTTGGGCCACTCTCACTCCCCCAGGACCCCTCCCCACAGCCCTCCACCCTGTCAGGGATGTCTCTGGAAGAACCCCAGCCCCTCCTGGACCAGCACAAAGACCCCTGTCCCTTTGCCCCAGATCCACAACGGCCGCCTGGCCCACCCAGATCTGCAGCTTGATCCTCTTGTCATGGCGATAGACCGTCTTGACCTTGAAGTCGATGCCCACAGTGCTGACAAAGGCAGGTGTGAAGGAGTCGTCCGCGTAGCGGAACAGGAAGGACGTCTTGCCCACGCTGCTGTTGCCGATAAGCAGTAGCTTGAACATGTAGTCGAAGTTCTGGTCAGCTGCATCCCGCGGGCCTGTCGGGGGGTCTCCGGCTGATGCCATCTTGGCAGAGAGCCTTTGGAGGGGAGGGCGGGCAGGGCTGGAGCCCTGAAGAAAAATAAAACACGAGCGTACACGCCAGACCTGGATTCAAATCCTGACTCTGCTCCTTGGAAGCCAAGTGACCTCAGAACATCCCTTGATCTCTCTGGTCTTCAGGGTCCTCCTCTGGAAAATGGGGACGCTTATCCAATGCCAGGACCCAGGCTGTGGGGGGCACATGGGGTGCCTCCTCTGGCCACTGAGGAGCCAGACCCTGCAGAAGGTACAGGTGTGGACTTTGTCCTAGAGTGAGCAGCTGGCTTGGCCCAGGTGTGGGCTGGGGGGAGGGGGACCTGCCAGCTGGCTAGAGCCCCCCCCCAACGGCCTGGATGTTGACTTTGGCAGGGACACCTGCCCTGACCACCCCCCCACCGCAATGCTGAGTTTAACCCCATCCCTGGCCTCCATAGGGAAGGGGGTTTTAGCGGATAATGCCCGGGTTTAAAGCCCAGCTCTAGCCCCAAATGGGTCCTGCCACCTTCTATTTGTCAAAGGGGTGGGCCCCATCTCCCTCAGGGCAGGGCTGACTCACCCCAGCCCCAACCCACAGAGGCTGCAGTGACAGTCCTTAACTCTAAGGAAGCCGCACTCCCCTCTACCCCTGATCTTCCTTTCCTGTTAATCTGAAGAAGCTGGGCTGCTTCATCTGGGTCCTTAGCCCTCACCGCCTCCCTAGGCCTCAGTTTCCCCAGCTGTCTATGGCAACGCCTTGAGCTGCACAGGGAGCGTCCAGGAGGCCTGGGTGAACTGAGGGCACAGTGGCAGAGGAACCCTTAGCAAAGCTATTTCTCAACAGCCTGTGGGGCTTTTTTCCATTTTAAAAGAGGACCGAACCTGCCCGCTTTCCTGCCCAGCCCTCAGCCCCACCCGGTGTTCCGGGAGAACGAGTTCGAGGAGGGGAAGACAAGAGGCAGGAAACCTTTCCCCATGCTGGGCAGGGCTGCCAGACTGGGGCCCTTTCCCCAGACCCAGACCCAGCCCACCTGTCAGCCGGTCCCACCTCTTCCTGACCATCTGGCCACCGTCCCTCACGCCTGGCACTAGATAAGGGTCCCCGGAGGGCTCGGCCCTGTCCCCCTGCTGGATGTGGGGCGCCCCCGCAGTGCAGGGGGGCTCAGGAGCTTCCTCCCATCGCCATATGGTCCCATCTCCTGTTCCCAGCTGGGCTCTCTGCCCCGCCCGCGCCCCATTAACGCTCCCCGAGCAGCCCAGCTGGGTGGGGGCGAGGAAAGGAGGCGTTCCCCCACCGCCCGCCTTTGTTCCCCGGGCCCCGGGCCCACCCTCTAGCCCCCGGACCCCAGAACTGCTGGGACGCGGAGGTGCGGGGCGGGATGCGGTCCCTCGGAAGGGGTTACCTCGCGTCGGGGGGGCTCTGCCCGCGGGCGTTCCTTCTTCGAATTCGCTGCGGTCTGGTCCCAGCCGCGACGCCGACCCCGCAGCCGCCGCCGCCACCGCCGCCGCCCGCAGCCAGCCGGATCCCGCGCGGGTTCCGCCCAGGCCGGGGAGGAGGGGCGGCTCCCCGGAGAGGGCGGGGTGGGGCGGGGCCGGCCCGGGGCGGGGCTCGCGAACGCGGGTCGGGGGGATGGGGGAGGGGCTGGACGCTGCTCGGAGCTGGGAGCAGCCTAGGGCCCGGCCCCCAACAATAAACTTTTCACTTTTCCTAACTATGTGTAGAGCTCCTACTCTTTGCACTCAAATGAAGAGCGTGGATTCTGGAGTCAGGTTCGAATCCCAGCTCCCCCACTTTCTAGCGCGGTTTAACTTTGGACGTGCTATTTAACCTCGTGGGGCCTATTGCCCCCATCCCTCCAGCAGTCCCTAACAAGAATCCCTACCTCACAGGCCTGTGCGAGCTAGGCCCCTGCGGGCTAGGTCCCTAAAGCGGACTAGGTCCCTGCGAAATACTCCGCAGGTCCCTTAGAATTGAACCTTTTCCAGATAAGGAAATGGAGCCTCAGGGAAAGGCACCTCTTTGCCTGAGACCAGACAAACGAGGAAATTTGGCATCCGGCCTTACGTGAGGCCCCAGAATTTTCTTCAAGGCATGAGAAGATCGGCAGGCTTTGCTGGAGTCAAATCCCAATGACTACATCTGAAACCACTTGCTGAGCTTCTCTGGGTCCCCGTTGCTTCGTGGGAACAATAGTAGCTCCCCACAAGAGCCACACAGATGTATGGAGATGACATGCATCTGGAAGGGCCAGCATATGATCAGTAACAGGCAGCCCCACAGTCTCCATGGCACTCAACGGCAGAGGTGTGCTTCTCACTCACACCGGTCATCGTGGGGAAGGAAAAATGTAGCTCATCACACTCTGCCTTGCACACTTCTCTTTGAAAGTGACTCTTCAGGGGCACCTGGGTGGCTCAGTGGGTTAAAGCCTCTGCCTTCGGCTCAGGTCGTGATTCCAGAGTCCTAGGATTGAGACCCGCATCGGTCTCTCTGCTCAGCGGGGCGCCTGCTTCCCTTCCTCTCTCTCTGCCTGCCTCTCTGCCTACTTGTGATCTCTGTCTGTCAAAAAACTAAATAAAAAAAACAAAACAAAACAAAACAAAAAAACAAGTGACTCTTCACAATTCCTTGGCCACAGCGAGTCCTGTGGCCATCCCCAGTGTTGATGGGGTGGAAAACAGGATTGTCCTCTGGGGCTCAGAACTGGCTATTGTTACTGTAATATAGTAATGTGTCATGGTTAGTGCCCTGCCTGGCACACAGCAGGTGCTCAATAAAGGCGCACCGTTCGTTACAGGAAGAGCTTGGGGTGTGCAACAGCTAACACCCCAGATCATGCCGCATGTTTGTGGTAATGAAGGCCCTCAGCTCTACCTTTGCCCGCCCCTCTTGCCCACTTTCCAGCTGGAGAAAAATGACAGCAGCCCTTTCCAAACAAGTGTTTATTCACATCTGGGGCCTCAGCAGGGCCCGAGAGGAAGTGGGCATTAGAGGCTCCCAAGGCCCAGGGCAAGGCTTGCAAGGCAGAGCCCATTGCTCAGGAGACAGCCCAGATTGCAAATGGAGGACAGGCCATGGTAGCGGAAAAAGGTCTGGCGGAGGACACTGTACTTGGGGTCCTTCTCCCGCAGCTGGCGGTAGGGGTCGGGGCCCTGGTGGCTTCCAGGTACCTCCCCGCCCAGACCCCGCTCCTTCTCCACCCTGTGCAGGGCCCACATGGCAGCTGTGGTGCGGGGCTCCAGCCAGCGGGCGTTGATGGCGGCCAGTGAGAGGCTCAGGAGCATCAGGCAGAGCTGGCAGGGTGGTAGGAGGAGAACAGGGTGAGTCAGGCTGGGGAGGCAGGAAGGAAGGGTCCCAGGGAGGGTCCTCCCGCATCGTCAAAGCCCAGAGGGGGATGAGACAGCATTAGATTAGATTAAAGCTAGGCCTCCCTGTGCTTCCCCGACCCACTCTAGAGGCCCCAAACAGAGCTCCAGCTTTCAAACCAGCAGCTCCCAAGGAAAGGTTCCATCACCATCTCCTCTATTCACCCCCTCACCCAAAACCTTCTGAGCCTTTCCTCCTCTGATACCCAGACTGGAAGTTTCCAAACACAGCCTTGTCTCCACCCTGGGCGTATCTCTCTGGCCAGAACCTCTCTTCCCCAGATTGAGACAGAGCACCATAACTCTTTCCCCCCAAAAGAGCCTAAGACAGGGCCCATCTCCTCAATGGTCCCCGCCAGACTCCAGAAGCTGAGATTGGGCCCACAGGGAGTGAACAGAAAGTCCTCCAAGTTCTAGTTACCCCAAATCCTCTCTGTCTCTTTGGGATTATTCTTGAAACCCTTGTCAAGCCTTTCCTGCCCGCATCTGAGGAACATAATGAGGGTAGGGGAAAAGCAGGATAGAGAAATATGAGATGCAGAGATGGTTCCCTTCCTTGTGGCTGGGGAAATGTGTGGGGGACTGTAAATTCCCAGTCAGGCTGGTTTTTAAACAATGAGCTGGGGTCACTGCCCCAACCTAGCTGAGTCACCACAACTTGGCAGCAGGCCCAGCCAGGGGAAAGAGAGGGAGCAGCAGCCAGCAGGGAGACACTGGGGAATAGATAGGGCTGCTAGGGATAGTTGTGCAGGCTGTGCACTGCTCAAGGGTATCCAGAGCCCAGCTTTGTTTCCACCAGGAAGGTGAAGTTGCTTGTTTGTTTTTTAATTCTCACAAAGGTGTAGCCATAGGTACTCAGTGGGGTCCTGGGAACGGATGTCCAGAAGACAGTGGAGCCCAAGCCCGCATACCTGGCTGGCCTCCCAGAATGTGAGCTGAGTCCAGGCATGTTGTGAAGCCAAGATGCAGAGGTTGATGAAAGCACAGCCCATGGAGATGTTAAAGTAGAAAGGGAAGAGTTTGCTCTGCACAAGGCCAAAGGTATGTCGGGGAAGGCTTCGGAAAAGCAGGAAGCCTGTAGGGTATAGGGAACCACATGCCTGTTAGGACACTTCCAGGTCTCCTTTCATTCTTGTCTACACCCTGGGTACCCATGATGTTCAGGTGGAGGGTCCCTACCTGAGATGAAGGTCACCCACATTTGCATGCCCCAGGCCCCCGACAAGACTAGTAGATGGACCATCTTAGTCAGGCTTCCTGGATTCCCACCTTCCTCCATCTTGCAGGCCTGGAAAAGAGGCATCAGGTCTTTCAGAGTTTTACCTTTGCCCCATGGTCTTCAGCCTGTGACCCTGCTTAAGGGCAGGGTCACAGCTAACCCAGCAGAGATAAAGGGCTACCAGCCCGGGAATGCGGGTGGGGGAAGACCCAGAACAATCCTGAGACAACCTCCAACCCCACCTCTCCAAATGTTAGCCCTCAAGATCTCAGCCTCTCTGGACCCCAGCATCCACGCCGTCTCTGAGACCCTAAAATTTCAGTTAGCCCCAGCAGCTCAAACTCGCAGCTCTGGGTATTCAGATATCCCCCCATTGACTCCCAAAAACCAGCCCAGTGACCTAATTCTAACAGTAAAGACCCCTGGTCACATTTTAGGGTCCCAAATATCACCAGAAATATCCTCAAAACACCTCCGGACACCCCATCTAATCCCGGGAAACCCCAAATCTCATTCCGAGGACACCGACCCTGTCACTGCACCCAGACCTCAACCCTCAGCACCCTGGAGTCCGAGAACAGAAGTGCTGGGCCAGATCTCGGGGGCCGGGCGGGCTAGGCTCGCTACCTCACTCCTGTGCTCGAAGATGGGCCGCGGACTTCTTCAGTCCTCTCCCAAGCATTCATCCCGCCTCCCACTGAGCCCGAAGCCAATTGGATCGTAGAACTGCGGGCTCCCGTACCACCCTCTTAGATATTGACTAATCGATTAGCGGAAAACAGCCTGGAATCCCGCCCCCTAGCCTGACTTTTATCCAATTACGCCGCGGCTCCTAAGACCTGCGGAAGCAGGAAGGCGCCAATAAGGCCTTTGGCTGCATCGGCGGGGGCGGAGCTAAAGTGTCAGCCCCACCCCTCTCTGTGACTCTACCTTCAGTCTTCGCGCGTTTTAATGCGATGGTGTCCCCACGGGATCAAATTTCAGCGTCACAGCTGGGGACTGGCTTCGCGGTCCTTGAGGGGAGAGCATGAGCAGGTGGGTATGTGGTAGGTGGGGGTGGAAGGGGGTCTGGAGCCCGGCGGGCGCAGGATTCTCGCCCCGGGGGGCGGGGCTCAGATTAATGACCCCGCCCCCTTCCCTCCAATAATTCTCTTGGAGACAGCGGGAGAAAACACCTGACGCGGGAGGGGAAAGGGGAAGAGAAGGGGGCTCGACTGGGGACCTGCCTGCAGTTGGCGCTCAGAAATGCATCTTCTCTTTTCCCTTTCAAGCCTCCCAGGGCTCCTCTGGTCCCATTTCCCAGGTTCTCAGTGTGACGTTAGAGGACACTTTCCCACCACTGTATGTCAGGCGCTGGCATAGGTTAATTTACTTAATCACAACAACCCAGTAAAGTGGCTGGTGTGGCATTCCATTTATACAGCTGGGGACACTGAGGCATGGATAGGTTCGGTAAAATGCCGACATCACACAGACAGGAAGGGGCAGAGCAAAGATTCGAACCCAGGCCACTCAGCTGGAGAGTCCCCTGGCTTAATCATCATGTTGTACTGCCTCTGGAAGTGCAGGCTTCCTGAGACAGTGATTCTGGAAGGGGTAGCCCAGAACATTACGGGCAGAAGAAAGGCTCCCAAATCATAAGACGAGTGTGAAGTGAGTGCTTGGGATAATGCCCAGCACTCAGTGAGGTGCTCAGAAAATAAAAGCTTAAAAAATTGATTAAGGAAGATTTTATAGAGCTGAGTTTCCTCCGGTTCCCAGCCTCAGCTAGCACAGGGCTTAGACTCCAGTTCTCCTGACATTTACTAAATAGATATGCCTTGCCTCTCCTGCTCATACTCCATGGCTCCCACTTTACCTGGGGAGGCAGATCTAAATTCCCCAGTTTGGTTTTCAAGGCCTTGCTTGAGTTGACCTGCTAACCTCCTCCTGCTTCCTCTTGGACCCTACTACCTACCTTCGGCCATCCTGAATTTACCAGCACACAGCATGTGGTTCCACACCTCCAAGCTTTTGTCCATGCTGTTTCCTGCCAGGAATGCCTTTCCATTAGTGCCCAGTGTTAAGATCCTTTTTTGCTTTTAGGCTGTTCTGAGGCCTCACTTTCTCCTGTGGGGGTCTTCTGGATCCTTCTCACTACCCAGCCCAGTGCCTGGGGCTGGGATCATCTTTCATCCAGCTCCTGCTCCTGCCATAACTGGGAGGTCCTGTGTTCAGGGCTGAGGCCTCTCTGGGGTATTAGGGAAGGTCTGGGAGTGTCAGGACTTGGGGGCTGGTCTCAGTGCAGCCCCCTGTTTCCCCCTGTTGAAGCGACCCTCTTCTGGCTGGCCTACCCCAGGACCCTGACTACTCTGTGCCCTGCTACTGCTCATCTCCCTTGCCCTCCAACGGGTGTTTGCCTGCTAACGGGAAGTGTGACAAGTACTGGGGTTTGTTGAGCGGCTTCCCTGGGGCTGGGGAGCTGGGAGGGGCTGGAGTGGCTCTGGGTTGGTCCTCAGAAAGCCCTCACCCCTTCATTCCCCCAACCACCCACCCTGTTCAGGCTCTTCCTCAGACAAGACCTTGAATTATACAATTCACTGGTCCAGGACCCCAGAGCCAGAGATCGTGGGGCCAGCTTCTTCTGAGAACACAGTGCCAAGTATAGACTGGAGGCTAGAGAGGGACTTGGAGCCTCAGTTGTATGGGTCTCGCATCTTCCAGAACCCAGACTCGCGGGAGCAGTGTAATGATCAGGACCTTCTGAAGAGGCATCACAACACCACTAAGGTCACCCCCCACCCGGGAAACACCTCCCAGCCACATTCTACCGCTGTGGGGCTTAGGGAGGGGACCCCGGGGGGGGTCTTTCTCAGGAACCCTTATGATGTGTGACTTCAGCACCCAGAAGAGCACCCAACGCTCAGCCAGCCCACACTGAAAATGTCTTAAATGAATGGATGAAGGGATGAATGGAGCGGATGTGTGATTGTGTTTCTTAGTGAGTGATACTACCTGTGACAGTTTCTGGACATGACTGCCTGTGGGTCTGTGGTTATGGCTGTGTCTCTGAGTTGAGTGTGAGTGGATCCTCTGAGGTTCTTAACCACCTGGCGTGCATGGCTGTGTCTGAGCTTGCCTGGCCGTAGTTGTGTTTCAATGCTTATGTGCCGTTGTGCTTTACCTGAGCCCAGTCCAGACACAGGGCTCTGCAGATGTGTTTTGGGGGCAGCCTCCACGTCTGCACACACAGGGGACAAACCACAAGAGTATACTTCTGACCATGTGTGGGCTAGTGGGGGAGGGGTGCACTCGGGGTCTGGGACACCCAGGACTCAGCAGACCCAGCTCACACCCAACCCCACACAGTGGGTTGGGGTGTGCGAGGAGAAGCACAGGGATGAATTTCTACTACCCACATGTCCTCCTTTCCTAGAAGCCCTTGGAGACCAACTCTTCCAAAGTCAAAGGTGAGAACCTTCTCTCCCGACAAGACTATGTTTGGAAGACCCGCTGGTTTTACCCCCACCCTCTGTCCCAGCCTGGGAGGAGCCACACCACCATGCCCACTTAGCCCTCCCCCAGCCTCAGCTGAGTCTTGCCCCTGACCTTGGCCCGCACTCCTGTCTCTCCCTCAACCTCAACAGACCCCAACCCCTCACCCTCCCCTGAGCTTCTGCTGGTCTCTGACCTGAACTTGCCCCTGCCCCCACTCCTCCTAGCCTCAGCTGACCCTTACCTCTGCTCATAGTTAAGTCCACCATGATGATTCCTGACTCCCAGAAGCTCCTGCGCTGCGAACTGGAGTCACTCAAGGCCCAGCTACAGGCCCAGACCAAGGTGAGGCTCCTCTGCCCTGCCCTGGGCGACCTCTGGCCCTGTTCCCCCACACCTGCTCCTGCCCCCAAGCTTGACCTCTTCCCCACAGGCTTTTGAGTTTCTGAACCACTCAGTGACCATGCTGGAGAAGGAGAGCTGCCTGCAGCAAATCAAGATCCAACAGCTTGAAGGCGAGGACCGGCCAGGGATTAAAGTCAGGCTGGAGGCTGGTCCTGCTGGTGTCAGCTGGGTTAGCCCAAAGTGAAAGAAGTTGGGTGGGTCTCGGGTCAGGGTCAGGGTCAGGGTCAGGTTCTGGTCAGGGTTAGGGCCAGCTGCATTCAAAGGTGGGCTCATGTGTGGTTGGGGCTCAGTCATGATCCCATCTAATTTGCAGAGGTTCTGAGTCCTATGAGCCGCCAGACAGAGAAGGAGGGACACAAGTGGGGTGTGGAGCAGGGACGCCAGGAGCTGTATGGGGCCCTGGCTCAAGGCCTGCAGGGGCTACAGAAGACCCTGCGTGACAGCGAGGAGGTGCAGAGGACCCGCACCACTCACTGCCTGCAGCTGCTAGCTCAGGAGATCCGGGACAGGTGGGCGTCACCAGGAGGGCAGCCTGGAAGCTGTGGGAGAGAAGAGAGGCCAAGGAGAGGGAGCCAAAGGGGGGATGTGGGATGAGACAAATGGGAGAGGCCTGAGTAAGGAGACCTGGGGGCCATGGAAGGTTTGAGGGACAAGATGGGGGGATGAGGAGGCAGTGGGGAAGTGTGGGAAGCTGGGAGGCCAGATGGCAGGAGGAAGGGAGAGGGAGACTGGAAGCTGGAGATGAGGTGGGGAAGGAGGCCAGGAGATCAGGAAACTGGACGTGATATGGGAAGCTGGAGGGAGGAGAGACTGAGGTTGGCAGAGGCTGGGGAGTTTGGGAGGTCAGAGGGGCAAAAGGTGGGGAGACAGAGGCCAGACAATGAGAGGCTGAGAGAATGGGAGGCTGGAGGTCAGGAGGAGAGGACAAGGGGCTGGGAGATTGGAGGTGGGGAAGTAGAGGCAGGAGGGGCAAGGTAGACAGGCAGGTTGGGGGAGGGGACAGATCCTAGGGGGATGGGAACATGACAGTTGGAGGAGGCTTGAGGAGGCAGGTGGGCAAAAGGGAGACCAGAAGACCAGGAAATAGAAGGCCAAAGGCTGAGCAGGGAATGTGGGTCTAGGCTGCCCTGTCCCCTCAGCAAGAAGTTCCTGTGGGAGGAGCTGGAGCTGGTGCGGGAGGAGGTGACCTTCATCTATCAGAAGCTCCGTGAGTGCCTGGAGCCCACGGTCAGGAGGGGGGTCCTTCTGCTGCTCTGGCCCCCCTGAGTCCCCTCCCCCTACAGAGGCTCAGGAGGACGAGATCACAGAGAACCTGGTGAACATCCAGAAGATGCAAAAGACACAGGTGAAGTGCCGCAAGGTGAGTGGAGAGGGCGGGGACCCTATGTGGGTTGGGGACATGGGACTCTCTGCTGGCCTCCACTGTCATACTGGAGCCAGAAGGACTGGGTTCAAATCTCGGCTCTGCCACTTAGCAGCTGCGGGACTGTGGTCAAGTCACTTCACCTCTCTGGGCCTCAGTTTCCTCATCCGTATAGTGGGTATGAGCAGCTGCATGGACTCCGTGCAAAACACTTTGAGGGCCGCCTGACATATCATCAGTGCTAAATAAGGGTCGCTTTTCACCATTCTGGTTCTTACCACTGTTGTCTCACACACACTTCCCACCCCCGGCCTTAGGTCCTGACCAAGATGAAGCAGCAGGGGTATGAGACCTCCAACTGGCCAGAGACCGAGGAGGTGCCATCAGGAGGCAGTGGCTCCTGGAGGGATGACCTCCAAAAGGAGCTGAGTGACATATGGTGATGCCCCGCCCCCACTCTAACCTCTGACTCCTGACCTTCAACTGCCTTGCCTTCCCACCAATCAGATCCAGCGGTGACTACCAGAACTGGAACCCACCCAGTCCAGGCCTCCCTCTCCCCCTGGGACTCACCTCCACCACCACCACGCCCCCGCCCCTGGTCCCCGTCATGCCCCTCCCCCTGCCCAGGACCCCCAGCTCCCTGTCTCCCTGCAGGTCCGCTGTGCACATGCTGCAGAACTCCTTTGATGGCCTCATGTCCTCTGGGGGCTGCCCCAGGGCCTCGAACCTCAAGGGTGAGGGGGGATGAGGTGCACTCTGGGCTGTAGGGGGGTCATTCTCCAGTTTCACACATGGCGGTCATGTTCAGAGGCTATATTTGGGGGTCACATCTGTTGGGGTGTTTTGGGTCCCATTAAGATTTCCATCCCGGGGTAACTCAAGATCACTGGGATCTTTTTAAAGGATCTGTGCAGTAAAATGCAAGGGTCCCTTGAGGTCGTCATACTTTGGTATCACCTTGGGTCACATTCAAGTGATGTAAGGGACACAGGCCCCTGATCACGATGCCACTCAAGGGTCACATTCAGGGTCTGTGGGTGAAAGGCCAGAATTGCACCTGTTGCTCCCGCAGGCTACAGGGGGCACCAAGGCCTGAGCCCTCTGTTCCCCTCGTGGGACTCAGACTCAGACTCAGACCAGGACCATTCCCAGCCACTCTTCATCAAAAGCCACTCCTTCCCATCTGGTACGGAACCTCCCCTGCCCTCCCCCACCCTTTCTCTCCTGGCTTGCCCTCCAGTGCCACAGAAGGACACTTGAAGCTCCCAACCTGGGCATCTGCTCCCTGATTTCCAGCCCTCGGGTCCTCAGGACTAAGCTGGGCCCTGACCCACTCTCTCTCCACAGCCTGAGCAGCCGGGACTGCTCTCCCTGAAGACCCCTCCAGAGAGAAAATAAACTAGCCAAGACCCTCTTCCACCTGTGGACTGTTGCTCCTGCTGCTTCCTGTGCCTAAGAATGACCACCCTCACACCCAGTTTCCTTTCCAGTGTTGGGGAGGGTGTGGGGACCCCAGATGCTGTTCAGAATGTGTAGGCTTAGGGGACAGTGTGAGGCCAGATTTAATAATAACAAGGTCAGGGGTCAGATATGAGGATCCAGAGGGCCCTGGCGCTCTAGTCTACTGCCCCAAAGGGGAAACTGAGGCATAAGGAGGGGGGGTCGAGGTCCAGGGTCATGCTCGCACCCTGCCCTGATCCTCCCCTCTGCGCCCCCCACCGCCTAGTTCTCCCTCAACCTGCATCCTTCATTCCCTCCCAAATTTGTCCTAACACTTTTCGGCCCCACCAAGAGCAACAGAGGCCCCGCCCCGGACCATGCTAATGAGACACCGCGAGTCCCCGCCCGACTGGGTTATGCAAATGAAGAGCCAGGAGGCCCCGCCCCTCGCCCCTTCGCTGAGTCTGCGCGGCGCTGCCGGGCCGACGGCGTCTCCCATCACCGTGTCCGCCCGCGGGGCCTGCCGTCCGTCAGTTCGTCCTGTCGCCCGGGTGACGTCTAAGCGGAGCGGGGGCTCAGACTGTGACAGCCTCGACCCGGTGAGGGAGAGGGGCTTGGGGCGCTCCCGGCATCCCCTCTCGCGGGCTACCGACCCTCGGTCTGTATGGTTCGGCCAGGGTTCGGCTCCTGCGGGTCGGGTCCCTTGTGGGTCCGGCGCAGGGAGGGGGAAGGGAGGCAGTGAGCTGGGGCTTGAGAACCGGCCCGGGGAGGGGAGCGTGGAGATGGGGACCCCGGGCCGGTGAAGCCAAGCGGCAGGTGGTGAGGGTGACTGTGATTGTGTGCTTGTCATTTTGTGTCAGTGTGTGGTTGTGTAACTGTGATTGTGTGGCTCTGGGGATGCCTGTGTGGTAGATGGTCTGTGTGGTGGATGTGTGACTCTCCTGTGGCTGTGATTGTGTGGCTGTCATCACGGGTGTCACTCTGAGGGTGTGTGTGGCTGTGTTGTTGTGACTGCTATCCCTGTGAGTGTGTGAGGCTGTCTCTGTGTCTGTACAGTTGTGTGCATATGACTGCCATTGTGTGTTCCTTCTGATGGTGTGTGGGGGCCCATTTCTATGTCTCAGTGTGTGGCTGTGATCATGCGCCTTTCTTGTGTGGCTCGGTGTGCAAATCCGTGTCGCGGTCCACGTATGTGCCCTTGTGGTGGCCATGTGGCTGAGCTCGTGGATGACATCGTCTCTCCTGTGAGTGTCAGTGTGGCTGAGACACTGTGAATATGTGTGGCTGTCGCTGAGTGCCTGGTTGTTGGGGGTGTGACACCGTGACCGGTTTATGACCCCCATTGTGTGTGGTGACTCTTTTTGATGTAACTCTTCCGTGTGTTGGCAGCCCTGAGGCTCTGTCCCTGGTGACAGGGGGGTGAGCGCTGGTGTGGGGCTGTATGCGGGGCTGTGAAGTGTTTGAAGGACCTCCCCTTGTGTCCCTGTGACTGTGTGTGTGTGGGGGGGGTTGTTTGATCTGTGTGGGTGTCTGTGACAGGCCGTGTGCACATTGTGCCATGTGTGTGAGTGTACAGTTGTGTGTTGTGGGTGTTGGGCACCTGTCTGAATGAACAGGCCTGTCTTGTTCACCACCAGCAAAGTGCCTGTAACCCAGCAGGCACTGGCTCCTTGTTGGTGGGATGGACAAATTCTGTACTCTGTGTGTGTGTGTGTGTGTGTGTGTGTGGTGGTGGTTGGGATGGAGGCCGTGGCTGAGTTGTATACTCTAGGGATGCCGGCATGTGTGATTGTGTCTCTGGAAGGGTGAGGGGCCGTGGCCACGTGGGCGTCTGAGATCTCTGGTGACCCTCGCCCCGCATGTCACACTGCAGAGCAAGCTGCGTGGATGGGGCACTGGACCCAGAGTGCCTACCCTCACCTTCCTGGGCCTCAGTTTCCACATCTGTGCAATGGGGTTGACCATCCCTGCCCTGCTGGCCGCCAGGAGCGGCTGTGAGTCTGTGGGTGTGGCGGAGGCCTGTGGGAAGCCATAGGGCCCTTTCACAGGTGAGGTCAGCCTGGGAGAAGGGGTCGAGCAGGTGTGGCTCTGTTGGCCCCTCAGTGCTGGGGACTGAGGTTCGATTGCGGGAAGAGGAGGCTCGTGGGAAGATAGTCCCCTTGTGAGACGGCAAGGCCGACAGTCTGGGAGGAGGGGACGTAGGGGAGGCATCTGGGATAGGAGGGCCTGGCCATCAGCCCGAACCAGTCAGGCACAGCTCATGGGGACAGGAAAGAGAGGCCCCTGTGGGCCATGGGGAAAGGGACTCAGAGGAGGAATTTGGTGGGGGTGGGGGACACAGAGCATGGGGTCCCTTATAAAGTATTTGAGGAAAGAGGATGGGGTCCCCTAAAAACCCTTGGGGGTGGGAACCCTTCTAAGTGGGCCCTTCTCTGTGGGGGAGGGGTTCTGTTTAGCTGGAGAAGTCTCTTCCAAGGGCTGAGGGGAGGTGACCTGTGTGGTAAGGAGAGACCCTCCTAAAAGGCATGAGGTCTGAATCTCCTATGTGGGCTGTTGGGGGAGAAAACCACTGTAGAGCCTCTGGGATCTGGGCTGGGGCTGGGCTGAGCTGCTCGTGTCGGGAGGCCTCCAAAGGGCAGGATCCTAGACATTCAGAGTCATGGCCAGAAGGCGCAGTGGGCGGAACCAGGGCTCCTTTGTAGTAGTTCTGGGGCGGGGGTGGGGATGGGGATCATGATGTGTCCAGAGGACTCTACTCAGGCAGGTGACCGGAGCCTCCCCCAGGCCCCGCCCTGGCGGTCCCATTCCCTTCCCACGTCCACAGGCCCAGCCTTCACCATGGCAGGAGGGAGAACTCAATCGAAGAGGAGTTTCTCCATCATTCCCTGCTTTGTCTTCGTGGAGGTGAGGAACCCAGTAACTCTCTCCCCTCCCCCCCCGCCCATCTGCACCCCAGACTCGCTCCCAGACCCTCAGCGGGGAGGAGGCACGTTCACAAGTGACACTCCCAGGGTTCCAAGCCTGCTCTGTCCACCCTTAGCGCAGAACTCTGGGTACCTCCCATCCCCTCTTGAGTTCAGCTTCCTTGGCTGTCAAAAAGGTGTCATCAGAGTCCCTTTCTCCTAAGGCAGTTATGAAGGTAAGATGTATTAATTCATGGAAGGGGTTTAGTATGATGTCCTGCCCCCAGTAAGGATTGTACTTCTGGGAGCTGCCAGCACTTCTGCCAGTAGTAGTATCTTTTCCTCTGTTGGTCTGTGTTCTCCTCCCTACCCACTAGCCCCTCTCTTTGGTCTGAGCCCTGGCCCAGTCCCCACTCACTCTCCCCCATCCTATTTCCTCTCTCCTTTCCATTCTACTAGTCCCTTCTCTTTCTCTCCTCCTCCTTGCCCCTCCCCTGCCTTTTCTTTCTGTTCCTTTCTCTTTGTGTCTCCCAGGTCCAGACAACTCCCAGCTTCTCTCTGTCTCTCCCACCCTTTGTATCTCCCCCAGTCTTGATCTCTCTGTCTCTCCTCCCCATCTTGGTCTCTCTCCATCTCTGTGTCTATCGCCATGGCCCCAGCCTGGACCTGACCTTGTCTCTTCTCTCTCTGTCCCCCTGCCATGACTGGGTGGCAGTCAGTGCTTCTGGGCATCGTGGTCCTGCTTGCTTACCGCCTGGAGTTCACGGACACCTTCCCCGTACACACCCAGGGGTTCTTCTGCTATGACAGTACCTATGCCAAGCCTTACCCGGGGCCTGAGGCTGCAAGCCGAGTACCTCCTGCACTCATCTATGCCCTGGTCACTGCTGGGCCCACCCTCACGGTGAGACTGGGGGTAGCCTTGGTCAGACCCAGATGGCAGGAGGGCCAGGTGGAGGTGGGTGGAGGGTTGGCTTTGAAGGCCAGGAAGACCCCGCCTTGATCTTGCCCACAGATCCTGCTGGGGGAGCTGGCGCGTGCCTTTTTCCCCGCGCCACCCTCAGCCATCCCCATCATCGGGGAGAGCACCATCGTGTCGGGGGCCTGCTGCCGCTTCAGCCCCCCACTGCGGAGGCTGGTCCGCTTCCTGGGTGAGTGATGCAGCCAGGGGGTCAGCTATGCAAAAGAGGTGTGGGCTAGGTTCAGCCATAATAAGAATTTTACGGGGAAGAGGGCCTAGAACAGCCATGATGATGACCTCATGAGGCAAAGAGGGATGTCGGTAAGGCCAGGCACAATGGAGGTTCTAGGCACAATGGTAGGCCTAAGCCAACCATGGTGGCAAATGCCAGGGCCCCAGATTGCTACAAGGAGAGTATCAAGGCAGAAAATGGGGACACAGGCCCAGGCCAAAGACCAGCCCAACCTCTATCCCACCCCAAGCAGGAGAATGAGAACCCGGTGTGGGGTCCCAGCCACAATGAGTGGCCATGGTGTAGGAGAAGGGCAGAGCTCATCCAAAATGGTGGTCCCTGTGACAGAGGACTGGAGCTCTAGCTCTGGCTGATTGTTGATCCAGGGAAAAAGTGATCAATTCAATAACAGTGAGCCCAGGGCAGGTGTATAAAGAGGCCTAGAAATACCCACAGGATGGTCTTCAGAGATTTCAGGCATGAGCCCAGTCCTGATGTCATGCTGCTGAGGGGTCCTAGCCCAACTATATTGGGGCTCCAGGGGAGGACCCACTCCTGAGATGGTAGTAATCTAAGGCGGACAGAAGCAAGAGGCTCAGGGTGCCATCATGTTCGTCCCAAGGGGGGAGGACCTTGGCCCAGGGATAATGGGATATGGCTTTAGGGGGATTTGCGGCTGTGCTTTAATGATGGTCATAGGAACAAGGCGCCTGGATGAGCCATAGGGGCTCACAGGAGGAGGGCCCTGGGGTATCAGGGGCCCAGCACGAACTCCCTCTCCCACTTCACCCCCAGGGGTCTACTCCTTCGGCCTCTTCACCACGACCATCTTCGCCAACGCGGGGCAGGTGGTGACCGGCAACCCTACACCGCACTTCCTGTCGGTGTGCCGCCCCAACTACACGGCCCTGGGCTGCCCACCGCCCTCGCCGGACAGGCCAGGGCCTGACCGCTTTGTCACCGACCAGGGTGCCTGTGCCGGCAGCCCCAGCCTGGTGGCCGCTGCGCGCCGTGCCTTCCCCTGCAAGGATGCCGCCCTTTGCGCCTATGCAGTCACCTACACAGCGGTGAGCCCCAGAATAGGGGCACAAAAGTGGGAGGGGGGCGGCCAATGGGCAGGAGGCCACTCTGGACTGGAAACTCTGATTCCTTCCCAGGGTAAAGTCACACCTCAGTGCTGTGACACTGCCCTGAGGGTGGTCCCACTCTTGGGCAGGAAGGTCCCTCAGACTACCTCTTTTGAGTCTGGCCACGCCCCCTGGCCCGGAATGCCACACCCAAGGGAGGTTGTTGGCTCCGCCCGTGGGACCAAAACACTGTTCTGGAGCCCTGTACTCCATTCCCTGGAGCCTAGCCATACCCCTGATGCGACAGGTCCCTAAATTTTGGCTGGGAGACTGGGCAGTTGGGCTTTTAATTCGGTCCCCTGGAGCCTGGGAGGGAGGACCCTCCCCCAACCTCCCCATCCCGCTTCGTCCTTGCCCTTTCTAGATCTGGCCACGCCCCCGACTTGACCGACTGGGACTTCCTCTGTCCCCAGCCTTTCCTTGGTTCGCACCTCCTGTTGCTTTGCCTCCTTTTTCTGGTGTCCAGGACTAACTAGTTTCTATTCTTGTCAGTGGATCCCTGGGGCTTGGGGGTTCCACCTCCTGGAGTTCCTGGACCTGCCCCCCTGGGCCTTTACTCCACGCTCTGGTTCTGAAGCAGTGGGCTGACCTAGCAAGCATCTTTCTCCATCTGTGGCTGGTCCTGGGCAGTCCTGGGCCCCAGACTCTGTCCGCTGCTCTTTGGTGTCCAGACCACACCCCTATCCCTGAAAGGGCCCGCTGGGAGTTCACGTCTCCATCCACAAACTCCAGTCCCGCTGGCTCCGTAGCTCCTGGCCACAGCCTCCAGCCCCAGCGCCATTCCCAGGGATTCTGGCCACGCCCTCCAGCCCGGAAGGCGGTAGCCACCTGCCATGCGTCCCCCTGACTGGTCTGGCTCCCACAGATGTACGTGACCCTTGTGTTCCGCGTGAAGGGCTCCCGCCTGGTCAAACCCTCGCTCTGCCTGGCCCTGCTGTGCCCCGCCTTCCTGGTGGGCGTGGTCCGCGTGGCCGAGTACCGCAACCACTGGTCCGACGTGCTGGCCGGCTTCCTGACAGGCGCTGCCATCGCAACATTTCTGGTGAGCCACCTTGCCATCCCATCCATTCCAGTATGGGAGACCCTCTATGAGCTCTCTGACCCAAGAAGTTGGACCGAACGATAGTGAAGGGTGTGGACTCTGTGTGACCTTGGGCGAGACCCTTTATCTTACCCTGCCTGGATGTTTTCATCTGTGAAATGGGATGACAGGACCAGGGTATGTAGAGTGAGGTCCTTGCTTTGAGTGCAGAATTTGAAGGCCCACTGAAACACTGAGTAATCAAGATAAATAAGGTTTTAATGACATACTTTTAAAAAAACCAAAATAGGGACGCCTGGGTGGCTCAGTCGGCTAAGTCGCTGCCTTCAGCGCAGGTCATGATCCCAGAGTCCTGGGATCGAGTCCCACATCCGGCTCCTTGCTCAGCGTGGAGCCTGCTTCTCTCTTTGCCTCTGCCTGCCAGTGTGCGTGCACTCTCTCTCTCTGACAAATAAATAAATAAAATAAAATCTTAAAAGAAAACAAAACAAAAACCGAAATTAATGCAATAACACGTGATGTCCAAAATATCAAAAACTTAAAAGACAGAACCAGATCCTGCCTTTGCACCACTTGGCCTTACTTGCCTCACCCTGTCATGACCTGTGGAATAGATAATAATAGTACCTACCTCTTAGTAAGGTGGAAAGAACAGTGCTTGGCACATAAATGTATTGGAAAATGTTAACTGAAAACCTGAGCCTCGGTTTCCTTATCTGAAAAATGGGGATGATATTTATGCCACTCCTACATTATTGGCTTCAGGCCTCAACATGCCCCTCTCACTCTGTCCCAGGTCACATGTGTCGTACACAACTTCCAGAGCCGGCGGCCCTCTGGCCGAAGGCTCTCCCCCTGGGAGGACCTGGGCCAAGCCCCCACCATGGACAGCCCCCTCGAAAAGTTAAGTGTGGCCCAGGTAAGGGGGGCCGGGGTCTGATCCCGGCTGGAGAGGGTGGTAGGTGGAAGGGGACCAAGGAGGCAGGAAGTCAGGCAAGAGGTGGGGGTCTCCAGGCCTTGGGGAGGTAGAGGGATTACTCGTCTTTGTGAACCTTGGTCCTGGGGGACAGTCACACAAAATAGAAGGGTGTGTCTTGATTAATCCGGAAAACTCTAGGTCTTTTCCACAAGCTCTCTGTCTGATGAGCCCCTCATGGCTGTGGCCAGTGGGGCCCAGGGGGCCACTAGCCCCTTCCCTCTGCCTCTTTGTCTCAGGAACCCGAAGCCTGCAGGCCGCATTCGACACCGGCACGGCTCACCCCATCCAGTGAGTGTCGAGGGAGTGGGGGGATAACCGGGGGGACTTCCAGGTCGCAGTCACTGCCACAGAGGTCTCGCCTATGCTCTCGTGGCCCCCTCCCAAGTTTTCTGATCCCCTGACCTCTGACCCTGACCCCCAGAGTCGCAGAACTGTGCCCGCCGTGGCCACCTGATCCCCAGCTGCGTGTCCTCCAGGGCTCCAGCCATGTGTTCGTCGCCCCGTGTGCCCCGCCCTCGATTGAGGTCTGAGCCAACGCCCCTGCCCCTGCCCCTGCCCCTGCCAGCACCAACCCCCAGCCAGGGCCCCTCACCCTCCTCCCCCGGGCCTGGGGGGCCGGGTGGGGGTGGCGGACGTGGTCGGAAGTTGCTGCTGCCCACGCCCCTGCTTCGGGACCTGTACACCCTTAGCGGACTCTATCCCTCCCCCTTCCACCGGGACAACTTCAGCCCTTACCTGTTTGCCAGCCGTGACCACCTGTTGTGAGGCCCTGATGCCCTCCCAGAATCTTCCAGGCCCCCTTTCCTTCCCCGCCACACGTGTGGGTGCGTGTGCCATGTGAGTGCCAAAGCCCTCTGTGCACAAACCAGCCTGGTCGAGGCATTAGAGGCAGGCTGGAAGGACATTTGGGGGGCCCCCTGCCTCTCTTGCCCTCTGGGACACCCAAGAGGGCATTACTGGGAGGTGGGCCCTTGCCCCTAGAATTACTCTTTTAAGGGCCAAAACCTGACCCCATTGGCCATTGCTGAGCCAATGGGAGCCCCTGGTTCTAAAATTTCTACTTAAAAGTAGTTTACTCCAGCCAGTGGGAGCCTCCCCTCATGTCGTAGAATCCTCAGGCAAGAGGGTAACTCCAGTTAGTGTTCAGCGTCTGAACAACCAATAGGAGTCCTTGGTTTTCAGAATTTCTAGGATGGGTGGGTATGATTCCAGTCAATGGGGGACCGCCAATGTCTAAGGACAAGCAAAGAAGAGGGAGATGGGGTCATCCTTTGTCATCGGGTCCTCTCTCAGATTCAGAAGAGTCCAGCTGGAGCATGGGGGCAGGCTCCCCCATGGCAGGGTCCTTGGGGCACCCCTTCCTCTCTTAGCCTCTCCCCCATGTGCAAACTCTCACTCAGTCCCTCCTAACTCCCAACTTATGCAGGGCTTGCCCCAGTTCAGAGGTTTTGGGGTTCAGGGTGCTGTCTCCCCTTGTCTGTGCCCAGATCACCCCAAACCTTTCTGTTATTAGGGCTATGGGAGGAGACTTTTTTTGCCTTGGAATCTGCCCTTGTTCTTTCCACTGCCCCCCATCCCGGGCCCCAGCCTCCTGCAGATGTGCCATCATAGGGGGTATGGGTGGAGCATAGAGGGCTCCCCTGCCCCAGGCAGCCAAAGGCAGTGGGCAGAGGAGACACTGCCCCCCTTTCCTGCCCCCCTCCTTATCTTTAATAAAGACCTGTTTGTAACAGAAGTTTGGCCACCTGCCTTCCTCCTCCCCCAGGTGTTGGGGCATAGAAGAATTTAATCATTGGTATGTAGCCAAGGTGAGACTGGGAGTGTGTTTATTGTCACAGTGGATCTGAGAGTGATTATGGAAAAGCAGTGTGGGGTCATTGAGCCAGCGACTTTAAATCGTGGCTCAGCATTTCCTGGTTGCATGTTGCATGACCTCGGGAAAAGTTAATTAACCTCTCTGTTCTATTGTTTCCTTATCTGTCAAATGCAGACAGCACCACAAGCTACATATAAGGCACAAAAACACCTAGTGAGGGGCCTCACATGACTGTCTCCTCCAGGCACCTAGCCTGTTTCTGACTATGGCCTGGGTGCTGAGGACACGTGGAATAGGGTGAAGGCACTAGGAGCCCCCATGCCAACCCCCTAGCTGCATGGATGGGAGCAAGGGTTCTACTTGTGACATTGTGCTGAGACACAAGCCTTGAGGACCCAGTGGAAACCAGGAGTCATGAAGGCACAGACCTCCTCACAACTCCACCATGGCTCTGAAGGGCTTCCAACAGGCCATTTGGGGCATGGAGTCATTCAGGAACTGGGAAAGTGTTCTCTGCTTCCCTCCCCTCCATTCTATTCATTCATTCATTCATTCATTCATTCAGCAAACACTATGGATCACCTACTGTGTGCCAGGTGCTGCGTTGTTGGCACAGGGGCTGTAGCAATGAACAGAACGGACACAAATTTCTGCATCAGGGGCTAACACTAATACATGAGACAGACAACAAGATAAATAAACTAGATACAGAGTCACAATTCCAAATTCCAAAAACGTCTGAAAAGCAAAATTGTTTCATAACCCATTTGTGGCAAAACCTGGCCTCTACTGATATAAGGTTATTATAGCTTTTATTTATTGAAACTGATGTGAGTATTCTTATGTTTCATTCCAGATAAAGGAAAGTGTTTGATTTTGAGATGTTATCCCAGGCCCCACTAGTGATGCAATACAGATTATTATACCATAGTACCTTTTTAAAAAATCTGAAAAATTCTGAATTCCAAGCTCTAGGACCAGGGGTTTAGGTCAAGGTTTGGGATCTCTGATATATTAGATATTGATAAGTGATAGGAGAAAATTCAAGCTAGAGAAGACAATGGGACAACTTCGGGATGGGGGCACAGTTTGCAATTTAAAGAGGCATGAAGGAGGGAAGAAAGAGCCATGTAAATATGGCGGGGGAAGGAAAGTTTGAGGCAGAGGGAACAGCAAGCACAAAATCGCTGAGGTGGGAACCAGCCCTCTGTGTTCAGTGAAGAGGCCTAGGGAAGAGACAGGTAGAGGGAGAGGAGATGGGGTAGGTGTTGGGACTGATTGTTGGGCATGGGAAAGGAGATGGGAGCATGAGAGGGCTTAAGGCAGAGGAGGATAGAATCACAGAACTCCCTTCTTCACAAGACAGATCTCCTAATTTCAGGGATCCTACCCCTGAGGGCCATGTTTCCTTCTGTCCCACAGCTACCTCCCCGAGGGCAGGAAAGAAGCAAAACTTCAGCACAGCGGACAGCACTCCAGCCAACCCCCAGCTAGCGCTGTCCGCGGTCCTGAAATCAAGGGCTGGCCAAGAAAGGGTAAAGTGGGGACTGCCAGACACAAAGAAGCGTTCAGGTCTGCTAAAGAAGGTGGAGACAGCCGGCCTTGCCTTGTCCACACCCCCATCCCAGGATGGATAATTTTAGGTAGAAAGTCCAGACTAAGGTAGACGCACTTATTCAAAACAATTCTTTTTTTTTTTAAAGATTTTATTTATTTGAAACAGAGAGAGAGAGAGAGATCACAAGTATGCAGAGAGGCAGGCATAGAGAGAGAGGAGAAAGCAGGCTCCCCGCTGAGCAGAGAGCCCGATGCGGGCCTCGATCCCAGGACCCTGAGATCATGACCTGAGCCGAAGGCAGAGGCTTAACCCACTGAGCCACCCAGGGCCCTCAAAACACTTCTTGACATGCCCCTGTAGGTTCCATGGAATCTCTAACTCAATGCAACCAAAACCGAGTTCTGGTTTATAATGTAAGTCAGACCACAACCCTCCTCTGCTCAAACCCTCTTGTGGCTGGCTCCCCATGCATTCTGGTAAAAGCCAAAGTTCTCCCAGTGCCTCAGGGCCTTTGTGCTTAGAGGTGCTACCACTTGGAATGTTCTTCCCCCTCACATCGACATGGTTTGCTCCCTCAGCTCCTTCAAGCCTTTTCTCAAATGTCACCTTCTCAGTGAGGCCTGCCCCTACCACTCTATTCCAAATTGCAAAAACCAAACAACTGGTCCTTCCCGCTCTTTTTTACCCTGTACAAAATTTGTTTTGCATACACTTGTCATCCACTCCCAGACTATTTAAACTCCTCATTATGCTTAGTGGCCATTAGCTTCTCCCTCACTAGGATGTCAGCTCTACAAGAACAGAGACTTAGTTGTCTTCTTTTAAAAAAAAAAATATTTTTATTTATTTATTTATTTGAAAGAGCATGAGTGGGGGGAAGGGGCAGAGAGGGAGGGAGAAGCAGACTCCCTGCTGAGTAGGGAGCCTGATGCAGGGCTTGATCCCAAGACCCCAAGATCACAACCTGAGCCAAAGGCAGATGCTCAACAGACTGAGCCACCCAGGCGCCCTCTTAGTTGTCTTTTCAGTCCTGAAGCCCTGGTGCTTAGAACAGTGCCTGGCACACAGTAGGTGCTCAATAAAATTTTATTAAATGAATGAATTAGTCACTTGATGCTGAAAAACGAGGGAGAAACACAGACTGATTCTGAGCTGTTTACTCTCCCGTCCCCCCACACTTTGGCCCTCCATTCTCCTGGGAGCTTCTCTACAGCAAGGGTCCTTTCATAAGGACATGAAGACAGGCATCTGAGAAGGGAGAGAAAGAAGTGCTATGTGTACAAGAAATATGCCAAACATCTGCATCTCTGCCAACTTAGTCTACATTTATGAGCACCTGTCGTGTGCTGGGTGCTGTTCTAGGAGCTGGGGGTGGGGGGCTCAGCAATGAGCAAAAGAGAGAAATTCCCTGGTGGAGCTGGCATTCTAGTGATGAGAGAGGCAATAAGGACATAATATTGGAAATAAGTTGTTTGAAAAGAAATAAGGATGGATAAGAAGCTAAAGTGTGTAGGGCATGCACTTTTACACAGGTGATCAGGAGAAGGCTCTCCGAATAGGCTGTATTTGACCAAGACCTGAATGGAGTGGGAAAGTGAGCCACAGGGGTATTTGGGAGCTGAGTGTTCTCCGCAAGGGAATACCGAGTGCAGTGGGGCTGTGTTGGCCATGCTCCCGTGTATGTAACTGCACGACTATGTGATACTGGTGTCACTACTGGGTGCTTGTGCATTTGGAGTGTTGCAAAGTGGGGTGAATCATGGTTTGTGCATCTTTTGGGGGGGTTGAGATGGTGAGTTTGACAAGGAGTGTAACTGTGCTTCGTGTGTGTGCGTGTGTGTAGAGAGCGCTGCAGGAACATTAGCTGAAAGGAAAGGTATCTATGTGCGTGCGTGTGTGTGTGTGTGTGTAATAGCAATGGTATGGCTGTATCAGAGTGTGTTTTAATGTGTGTGCAATGGAAAGGGTGTGGGGACGTAAATGTGGGAGAAAGTGTGCATGGGATGCTTTGTGTCAAGGTAGGATAGGGCTGTGACCATGTGGGTTCTGGAAGTAGAATATATGCAGAGATGCCATGGTGTGTGCGTGTGTGTGTGTGCGCGCGCGCGCGCATGAGCGCGCACGTGTGCGTGTGTGGAGAGGGTTGTGGAGGCGCCTGGCTGTGTGGGTGGGTGTATTGGGGGATGCTGTGGAACTGTTTTCTGGCCCCAGAGAGAGAAAGACCAGGAAATATCAGTTCCGCCCCGCCCCCCCCCCGGGTCTCCTGGCAACAGCACCACTTTGAAGTTACCAGGAGACAGAGTTGCCAGGGCAACAGGGGTGAGTGGCAGCTCTGGAGCGAAGTCTGGGTGAGGAGACCCAGCCAGCCAGCCATCATTTAATCACTCACCTTGTTCCTCCTCCTTTCCCAGTTTCTCATCAATCCTACCTTCTTTTCTTCATTCATTCGTTTAACAAGCATATATTAAGAATGTACAATGATCTAGTCACTGTTCCGGGAGCTGGAGGCACCTAAGTGAACAAGACAAACAAGGTCTCTGCTTTGGCTGTCCCTTAGTCTTCCACCCTCTATGTGTGTCTTTGTCTCTCCTGGCACCTTTGGTCTATGGTCATGCCTGTTCCCCTCACTCCAAGTAAAACCCCGGGAGCCCCAGGCCAAAGAGGAAGCCAGCTGAGACTCCTCTTCTCACAGACCCTCAGAGGTTGCTCACGAATATTTCTGAGCCTGCAGCCTCCAACACAAGCTGTGCCAATACTAAGGTGCAGAGAAAGAAACACACAAGCTTCTCCATCACTCACTTTCTTAGTTGTCATTGGGTGACATCAGCAGAAACACACACAGACACATTCATCGCAGTATTTCTCTGAGATATCATGAGCTCCATTTTACAGGTGAGCAGACAGACTGAAGCTAGGAGACTTTAAGTAATGTGTCAGTGATTAGGGCCTGTTTCCTTCAACTCTTGACCCTTATATTTGTCTGATTAGCTGATTAGTTCACAATAATAATATTCGTGCTGCTTCCTCAGCCGACTTAGGCAAAGAAGGACCTTTTCTCCCTGAAACGCCTCCATTCCTGCTCCCTCAAACTAAGTTATTTGCCCCTTCATCGGGGGAGGAGCTAGTAAAGGCCAATCTAACTTTGACGGCAGACCCACGAACCAATGCAGAAGCTAAATTCATTGTAACCAATGAGACCTCGGTTTGGGCGGGATTAGGGGGGGGCAGGAACGGGCCGCTGATTGGGCGGAAGTATGTTGCGAATGGCGGAGGCGCTGAGGCGCGTGCTAAACCTTGGAAGCTCAGCAGACTCCGAGTCGGAGTACACAGCAGAGGCTGGATCGCCTTTGCTGCTGCTCGGCGGTCCAGGGTCTGGAAAGACGGCGCTGCTATTCGCGGCGGCCCTGGAAGCGGCAGGAGAGGGCCGAGGCCCGGTCCTCTTCCTGACCCGGAGGCCTCTTCAAAGCCTGCCCCGCGGGAGAGGAGCGGCGCTCGACCCCCTGCGGCTACAGGTAGCGGAGGGGTGGGGCCAAAGGCGGACTAGTTAGTACCTGAGCGTATTGAGTGTTGAATGACAGGTAGACAGACCAATGGAGGGGACGAAGGAAGAGCGAGCCGGAGCGGCCATTGTGGGGCGGAGTCATGAAATAACGGGGGAGTGGGGAGGATGGGGGCGGGACCACAGCTGCAATCTTTGTTAAGATTGGGAAACTGTCCCGTGAGGGGACGGAGTTACCGAAAGGAGACGCCCAAAAGGTAGAGTCAAGGGGGTGGGTAAGAGGTGCGGCTAAACCAGTGTCTTTTTTGGATGTGGGGTTTTCTTTCGGGGCCAATCTGGAGGTTCCACTAAGAACCTACCAGCGGGTTTTCCCTGGAAAGATTGCCTTAGTGACCTGGCAAAAAACCTTACCAGTTCTCAACTATTAGGGGTAATGGTAAATGCAGGATAAAAAAAGGGGGTGGGGGTGCCTGGCTGGCTCAGTTGGTAGGGCATGAGACTTTTGATCCCAGGTTTTTAAGTTCCATACTCACCCACCTTTGGTGTAGAGATTACTTAAAAATAAAATCTTTTTATATAAAAAAAAGGGGGGGAGGTGGGGGTGGGTACGAATAGAGTATTCAACCAGTCGGAGCTGCTTCACTCTAGAAACAGCTATCTGGGACCTGAGAGCTTAGCGCAGGAAAGTATACAGGGCAGTAGAGCAGCTATAGCTGGGAGCCTGGCTTCCTGGGCTGAATCTGGTCTTTTCCTTTGTTTCCTCCCTTTAGAAGATCCGCTTCCAGTACCCACCGTCAACCCATGAACTCCTTCAGCTTCTGTGCTCTGCCCATGAGGCCCGAGGCCCAGCCCCCTCCCTCCTGCTGCTGGATGGTCTGGAGGAGTACCTAGTGGAAGACTTGGGGCCCCAGGAAGCGGCCTACTTGGCTGCCCTGCTTCTAGACACAGCTGCCCACTTTAGCCACCGGATTGGGGCTGGCCAGGGCTGTGGGCTCATTGTGGCCCTCCAGATCCAGGAAGAGGGAGACAGTGGGGAAGCCCTGCAGCTGTCGCTGGTCCAGCGGTATTTCCCTGCCCAGTGCTGGCTGCATGTGGATGCCTCAGGGCCGGGACAGCGCTGCCTCCGAGCCTGCATGGATCCAGGCGGGCAGGGGCCCAGAGCAGAGTGGTGGTTGGCTTTCCGACCAGATGGAGAGATGACAGTCACCCCATGGCCTGGCCAGGCTGGTAAGCCCAGCTCAGACAAAGGTTCAAGTTCTGAAGGCCAGCCTTGAGTTTTGGTATGTGCCCAACCTCTCTATGCCTCAGTTTCCCATGGCGGGAATACTTAACTTCAGGGACATGTGCAGATTCAAAGACCTAAAGAATATAAAGTGCTTTTTCTCTTTTGAAAAATAGCATTATCATGTACTTATTTTGCCCAGTCAGCATATTGCTTTGCTTTTTGAATTTTATAAAAAGTTTCATGATTAATGTAATATTCTGAGACTTCCTTCTTCTCCCACTCAGCATTGTTATTAAGATCAGGCCAGGGGCACCTGGGAGGCTAAGTGGGTTAATGAAGTCTTTTTTTTTTTAAGACGTTATTTATTTATTTGACAGAGATCACAAGTAGGCAGAGAGGCAGGCAGGGGTGGGACTGGTTGGGGGGGGGAGCAGGCTCCCTGCTGAGCAGAGAGCCCAATGCGGGGCTTGATCCCAGAACCCTGGGATCATGACCTGAGCCAAAGGCAGAGGCTTTAACCCACTGAGCCACCCAGGCACCCCGGGTTAATGAAGTCTTGACTTCAACTCATGTCATGATCTCCAGGTCCTGGGATCAAGGCCCGAGTCAGGCTCCTGTGCTGAGTGGGAAGTCTGCTTGTCTGTCTCCCTCTGCCCACCCCCAACCCACGCCCTGGATCATGCTCTTTCTCTCAAATAACTAAATAAAATCTTAAAAAAAAAAAAAAAAGATTAGGCCATATTTTTTAGTTCAGTCCTTTTTCTGTACTGCATATAATGTCCTGGGTGACTGTACCCCATTTTGTTTCATCAGATTGACTTATTTACTGCTTATGAACATTCTTTTTTTTTTTTTTTAAAGATTTTATTCATTTATTTGAAAGAGAGAGATCACAAGTAGGCAGAGCAGCAGGCAGAGAGAGGGGGGGAAGCAGGCTCCCCGCTGAGCAGAGAGCCCGATGCGGGGCTCGATCCCAGGACCCTGAGACCATGACCCGAGCCAAAGGCAGAGGCTTAACCCACTGAGCCACCCAGGCACCCCACTTATGAACATTCTTGCACACATATACTGGCTCATGTCCATGAGGGCTTTTAAGGTATATACTAGAAGTGGAATTGGTAGAGTAGGTCTGCATATGTTCATCTTTCCTTGGTTATGTCAGACTTCTAAAAAGTGGTTGAACAGAACTCCCAGTGAGCCACCTGATAACATGGGTCCCATCAGAGCACTTTCTTAGAACAGGGCCTAATTCAAAATAAAACCTTATAAAATAGTGTCATTATTATTAGTGGCAGAGACTAGCTGGAGGCTCATTCAACAACCTTCCTCTCCTTGGGAGTACAGCTAAACTGTATTTTTCCCAGCTGTCTGTGGGATCATGTGATCCCACAGGGATCCTGTGAGATCCTGTGATCCCACAGGGATCCTGTGACTGTTTCTGGCCAATGGAATTTGTGAAGAAGAGATGATCACTACTTCTTAGGCTAACTCCCTAGAATGGCCCACCAAATCTTCTGCTCTTTGTTCTGCTTGTTGGTTGGCAAGACGCAGAGGACCCATCTAAAGAACCTCAGGGTGGCCCTGGGGGGATGGTGAAGCCAGAGATCAGAAGAGTCTGGGCTTCTCACTCATCCCAGATATGGCTGCCCATCTACAGGTTTGCACTGAAATAGGAGAGAGAAAGCATTCGATGTGTTAAGTCACTCATATGTAGGAGTTGTTTGTTATGGCAGCTAGTATAACATATACTGACTAATTCATTTTATTATAATTATTATTCAGGTTGCCAGATCCAAAATTTGAGTTGGAGCTCGAGGCCTTTTACTGCTGCCCCTATCGCCTGGGCCCAGGGAAAGATGGGGCTTACAGGATGTTTGTAGAATTCATGATAGAAAAGAAAAAAAAAAAAATACACACACATACATGCATACACACACACACAACTCTATACAATTTTAAAATACTGCAAGGATGGACTGGGCAGAAACCCAAGGGCGGCCTCACCAACCCTGCTCAATAAGTCTTAGGCCTGGACTAGCACTTGAGGTCATGCTGGGTCTCCAAGCATCTGAGGGCTGGAGTCCTAGGAGCAGGCCACGTAGCTGGGAGGTGAAGGCTCCAGGGCTGGGGAGAGGCTGTTCTCATAAGGATTTGAGAAGGGGCCATTCGATGAGTCACCCTGGGCTCCCTGGGAGCCCCCTGAGCTGTAGTCAGTTGAGATGCCAGAGTCGGACACCATGAGGTACAGGTACTTTATGTGGGGTGGGGTCGGGGGCAGCTCAGGGGGCAGTGCCCTTGGGCGCAAGAGCTGGGAGCTGGGATCCAGGATGGTATACTCAAAGCTGGTACCCAAGGCCCCCTCTGGCCCAGGCTTCAGGGACAAAGCAGATGAGTAGGAGGATGCTTCTGAGCCTTTATCCATGGCTACCATGTCCAAACCACCATCAGGCCGTGGCAGATCTTTAATGTGGGGGTTCCGGGGCAGCAACCACTTGTCCAGCACCAGGTAGGTGTCCTGGGTATGTTCACTGCCCACTGGCTCCAGCAGGGGTCCCTCATCCTCTGTCCCTGGCTCCACAGCCTGTGTTGCCCCCCAGCAGCGTTCAGAGAGGACTTCCAGGGGAGCGGGTGGGTCCTCTGCAAAGGGAGTGCAGGGGCTCCACCAAAGGCAGCCCTCATTCTGGTACAACCACAGCTGGGGAAACAGCACCAGCCTGCTCAGAGACCTGTGGTTCAGCCCTGGGAGCAGGGAAACTGCAGGCCCCAAGGGAACAACCCCGCCACCTACCTGGAAGTTACCCTTGTGGGTGGTGAAGAGGCCCTCAAACTCACTCTCAGGGCTTGGAATGCCAGGCCAGATCTTCTGTTTCAAAGCTCTGATGAAGCAAAAAGGACCAAGTGCATTGGTATGTGTCACTGAATACCCACCGGTACCCCCCTTAGGACCAGCCACAGGGGCACAGACAGTTCTAGCCCCTTGTGATCACAGTGGAGGTAGAGGAGTGCACAGGGGAGGAAGAACAGAGGCTCAAGCTTGTGCATGCAAGCCCTACAGGTGGGTGACTAGAACAGGGTTTTGAAGGATGCATAGGAGTTCAATATGCACTGATGTTACTTCCCTTCTCACTTCTTTCCATAATATCCCCCAGTGTACTTAGAATAAAATTCAAACTTCCTCCCCACAGCCCTGCAGATGGCCTAGCATGTTCTGTCCCCTGTTAACCTCCCTCACCTCCTCATTCAGCAATCTTTCCTAACGCATTCTGCTCTAGCCACAGAGCGCTTCTTGGTAGCTGCTTCAATGTTCTAAGCTCATTCCCACCTTAGGGCCTCTGCACTTGCTGTTTCTTTTCCATTTTCATGTGGCTGCCTTCTTCTAACCTTCAGGTTTCCATTCTGATATCACTTCCCAGAAGCCTTTTCTGATCAACCTGTCATGTCCCCATGCCCCATTTGTTGTGATATCACTTATCACAATGCATAATCAAATATCTGTTGGTTCCTTTGTTCTCAACCATGAGATCCACAAGGTGAGGACATATTTGTTTTCCACTTTCTCCACAGTGCCTAGCACACAGTTGGCTCTCATTAGGTATTTTCCAACCAAGTAAATAAACAAGGCCTTGAAAGACACCTAGGAGACCACCTGGCAGACAAAGCAGGAAGGGCATTCTGGGCAGAAGGAACAGCATAGGCTTGAGGGTGTGAAACCACCTGTTATGCTCTGGGAATTCCAAAAACCTCAGGATATCTGGTCCTACCATAAAGAATCTAAGGAGCTTGACAACAGGGCAGGAGGCACTCAGGGTGTTAAATCTTTCCATTAAGCCCATCCCGGGATTTTACAAAAGTTGACAAACTTGGGAAAAGGAAAAAGCAAAGGAATTCAAGAAGGAGCAGCCACTGAAGTCGAAGGAAAACCAGGTGAATGTTCCCAGGGAATTTTAACTAAGGGTCTGGGTCCGATCTGGCTCACACCCCAGCCCTGCCACTGACCCCTCACTGTGTCTCTCTGGGCAAATGTCTGCCTGTCTCTGAGCCTTCCTTTACACAGCAAAAGAATGGGGTGGGGAGGAGTCTGGGCTAGGTGCCTGAATGGGGCGCTCACCTGCGGTGGGAGAGCAGGGCGAGCACGGCCAGCAGCAGCAGGATGAGCACGAGGATGAGGGAGAGCGTCAGGATGAGGGGGTCCAAGTCTGGGGAGCACGAAGGAAGTCACGGTGGTGGGAATGCCCCATATTCCGCCCCTGCCCCTCCTACGCCCCCACCTGGGGCCTCACCACTAACTGTCAGCAGCGACGCAGGCTCGGACCAGGCGCTCCAGAAGCCACCGAAGCTCGGCTCGGCCATCCGCGCGCGTACCATGAAGGTGTAACGCGTTCCACCCCGAAGGTTGCTCAGCACACACTCAGTGCGACCATCCAGAATCTCCACCTGGGGGCGGGGCCTGGGTGAGAGGCGTGGCCAGTGGGGCGGGGCTAGCAGAGAAGCATGGGGGGCGGCACTGAGCCAATCAGAGAAAGGAAGGAGAGCTCCCCAGCGCAGCCGTGAGGGGGAAGGGCGAGGAAAGCAGGACGCCGCTTCCAGGAAGGCTTGGGGCCAAACAGGACGGGCCCCAGGGAGCAGAGGGCGGACTATTGAGGGGCAGGGCCAGAGCCTAGAGGGTCGGGACCTTGAAAGGGTCTAGTGTTTGGGACACTGGGGTAAGTGGGATTGGGTCCAGGTGCGCTGGTGGGGCACTGGGAAAGAAGACCTGTCACTGGGCGTGGAGGTGTCTCGGGCAAGGAGATGACAGGGGTCAGAGGCTGGGCCTGGAGGGGCGAGGCCAGGGGGCGGGGCCGTGGGGACCATCTGGGCGAGAGGGAGGGAGGAGGCGGGGCTGTCCACCTTGGAGCCTTTGGGGCTGGCGTTAGAGGAGGCCTCACCTTCTGTGCGCCGGCTGCGATGTTGCCGGAGGAGATGTTCACTTCGTAGCGGATGAGGCTGGCCACCGGGGCCCCAGGAGGCGGGAGCCAACGCAGTACCACGTGGCCGCCCTCGTCGGCCCGCCGCGCCAGCAGCCCCGTGGGGGGATCCAGGAGCACTGAGGAGACGGGTTGATCAGGTGGGCGGAGGGCGAGACTCCCTCACCAGACAAAGTCCCCATTCCCTGCTAACTTACCCACTTCGTTGATGTGGATGATACGGCGATAGCGTGGAGCGCCCGAGGATACCGCTGTGACTCGCAGCTCTAAGGGCACGAAGCTCGACGTGTCGGCCGTAGGCAGCGAGCACCAAAAACGCACCGCGCCGCGAGCCGTGGGCGCCTGGTGCAGGCTGCATGGCTTCCATGGCTCACCCCTGTGCGCCAAGGGGCCAGAGAGGGAAGGGAGCAAGTTGGAGCTAGGGGTGCGACAATTTGCCTGGACCGTGGGCGCATTTTGGGCAGGACCACCAAAGGGCATACAACCAGCCCCGACGCACGCGACACCTTAGTCCCATCGGAGGGGTGCTGTCCCCGGAATTGCTCTCCAACAGAGATCGCGGGAGTGTTCCAACCCCAGCCACTAGGGGCGCGTGTCAGTCCCGACCCCTCGGGCTTCCCACCCACTGGGAGGTGCCACCCCGCCCCGGACACCAGCAGATATCCCAAAGCGTGAGCTCCGGGGCGCGCTCAGTCCTGCCCACACGCCCCCTCCTCAGAGCGTGGGGGCGCTCTTCTTGCCCTGCTGCACTCACTCGAGCTGGTAGAAGAAACTGTAGTTGTCGGGGCCGACCCCGGCGCTTGCCGCTTCCTCCCAGAAACACACCAAGTCCTCCAACCGTTCGGTGAAGCACAGAAGCTCTTCGGGCTCGCGGGCAGCCAGCAGGGCCGCTGCGGGTGGGAACAAGGGGAGGGGGTCGGGGGAACCCAGTCTTTGGGTCTCCGCGTCCTCCCCCTCCCTCCTGCCGCCTGTGCGAACCGATAAGAAAAAGCCCCGCCTCGCTCTCTACCCCAAGCGGGGCCCCTCGAAGGGTCCCCAGAGGTGGTGCCCCCCGAACTCCCAGGCACAGGTTGCTTGCCTTACTTACCCACCCCACAACGCACTGAACCTGCCCGGCCTCCGCCTCCCGCTGCCGGCCCCGCCCCAGGCCAGGCGGATCCCTGGACGTGTGCGGAGGTGGCGGGCTCCCCTATCGGCCCCGGCAGGCTGCCGGGGACCAGATAACGCCAACCGTGACCCCCTCCCCCGCCCCTTCCCTCGACCCGGCAGGCCCGGGGATCTGGCGCCCGCATACAAACCATGTTTACAGTCGCCAGCGGCCCGGCCCCTCTGCCTCGATCCGGGCTTTGTCCTCATTCCCTCAGTGCAGGGTGGGCTAGGTCCCCTCTCCTCAGGGACTCTGGACGTCGAGACCTAGACCCAGCACCACCCCTGCCCCTTTAGGATATATCCTGTCCCAGGGCCCCCTGAAAAGATAAAATGGGAACTTAATGTCCCCCTCCAGACCCAGTCTGGAGTCTTAGACCCCGGCATGGTACACCGGGTCCTAGTCTAAGAGGCTCAAAGACCAGTTTGGCCCCCAGGATCTAAACTGGAGGTTCAGAACCCGATATGATCCCCAGGAGCCATGCTGGAAGTTCAGGCCTGAGCAATGCCCTCCGGGACCTAGGGCGGGGGTCCCACACCGATCTACCCTTACCTTTACTTTCAAACTTGGGGTCCAGGGATTTGGGTGGGGAAGCCCAGGCGGCCCCAGCGAGCAAGAAACAGAGAGAGCCGACACTGGGCCAGAGGTGGGCCCGAAGGTGATCCATGATGCAGTCCCTGGCGATGGGGGGCCCAGGGCCTCTGCCCCCTACCCCCCTTCCGCCCCTGGCACAATCCACAGCTGGGTCAGCAGCTGCCTCCGCCGGACACAGCTGACCAGGCCCTTCCCGGCCAGGCGCCTCCAAGTGGCAGCTCCCCCGAGGGGGCGGGACCACACGCAGCCTGGGCTGAGATAAGCGGGAGGAGGCTGCCCTGCTGGTCCCGCAGGAGGCGGCAGGGGCCCTGGGGGGCCCCCCCGCGGCCACTTGGGGGTCAGGAACAGTGCCGGTTTCTGGGTTTCTGAGGCAGGCAGACTTTCTTACTCTATGACCCTGGACAGGTGACTGATCTGAGCTTCAGCCTTCTCATCTGTAAAACCCGGCTTGGCACATAGCAAACATTCAAAAAATGTAAGATACTGTTATTATCGTGCTAATCAACATCTCTTCCCAGGCTGGGTAGGAATAAATAATCCTAATAGTGACCGGCGGTTGAATGCACGGTGTTAAGCAGTGTGGCCAAACAGTACGTACCATATGATCCTGTAATAAAATAACATATATTCTAGATTTGTGACTTTTTTTGGAAAACAGTTTTTTTTTAACTCTTGGGTGGGTTTTTTTTTTTTTTCCCCTGTTGGGGTCTTATTTTATTTTTAAAGATTTTATTTATTTATTTGAGAGAGAGGGTGAGAGAGCATGAGAGGGGAGAAGTTCAGAGGGAAAAGCAGACTGCCCACGGAGCCTGGAGCTCAATGACGGACTTGATTCCAGGACTCCAGGACCAAGACCCTGAGCTGAAGGTAGTCGCCCAACCAACCGAGTCTGGGGATTTTTATTTTATAAGGAATGTGCTGTTCTTTTAATAATCTGGAAAGTAATTATAGTTACACATGGTGAAAGCTATTTGCTTGAGCTGAGCTTCTCAAACTAGGGTAAATATCACCACGGTGGTACCTGCCTGGAGCAGGGCTTGATATTGGTGCCTGCCCTCCCTAGACTAGCCAGTCAGAACACTCCATTTCCTGGAGAACCGTGATTGGCTGGGGATGGGCATGTGACCCAAACGGATCCAATCAGCCTCTGTCCTGGGATTTTACCCAAAGTTACTGTGAGAAAAAGAATTTGCCTACATCCCATTGGTCAAGACTTAGTCACATGACTACATTTTGCCGCAAGGGAGACTGGAAACGTGTTTTCTACTTTGGATGACCAGCTAAAAATCAGGTTGTTCTGTTGCCACAGAGGGTGATTGGATTTGGTGGAGTACAGGGTGGGGGGTGGAGGGTGGACACAGTCTCATTCTCAGAGCAAATCAGGGCCCAGAGACAGCAACAAAATCCCCATAATAATTTTTGCCTCCCTGAATCCAATTGTGATTGAAGCTGGACCCACCGAACTTCTCATTTACACGAGCCATTAGTTTCCTTTTTTGCACATCTACTTGGACTGGATTTTTGAACACTTGAAGCACAAAGAACCCAAAGCCCCTAGTTGACGTTCGGCACAGAGGAGAAGTTCCTCAGTGAACACATTATTGTTAGGATGGTGGTTGTTGACAGTTACGACTGTGTCGCAGTTGACCCTATGGCTCCCTTTGTCTCTGCCTTCTCCGTTTCCTCTCCTTCCCCCAGTACAGGGAGACGGTGTACCGCTCTCCTTTCGTCCCCACATCCTGTTGGATGATGGGTGATGATGGTATTTGTCTCCGATCCCAATGGATTTTCATTTCTCCACTCATCCATACCCATATCTGCCGAAAAAAGGATAGTGGCCCCCAAATGCTGGGGAGTCCCAACCCCTGTGTGTGATAGGCAACCTCTGCGTGTGATAGCACCCCCCCCCACCCCCTCGCATCTGGTCGTGTCTCACCCAAACCCTTTCACAAGGCTCTTAGATTTTTTTGTTTTTGTTTTTGTTTTTTTAATTTCTGTCATGATAGAGAACACAAGGCCTAGGCTCAGAGCAAACAAGACAGACCTGTTTCATAACTTTGGTTACTATTTTCATCTACTTCTGTCAGTTCTGATGTGTCTCTGCCAGTTACAAGATTTCTCTAGGGAAGGGTCTGCCCCCCACCCCCAGCACCCTACCAGCCTTCTATGTTTATGGGATGAAACTTCTCACAGCCCACCTGTGAGCTGATGGCTCTGGAATAAGGATCTGGTGCCAAGAGTGTCAGAGAGAGGGTGTCCAAAGGGCTAAAATTGGAGGTGGGGGGTCATGGGGTACAGAACACAATGGGCTTTACTGGAGAATGGGACTTCTCTAGGAGAGGAACCCTCTCCCCACTTCCATGGTGAGGGAAGCTAATCCCCAACCTGCCCCTGGGGCCTGTGACCTAGAGGGAGAAGGGGGCCCCCTCAGGCTGAGGAGATTGTGGTTGTGGGCTGGGCCCCCTCCTTTCGCCGCAGCACAAAGTCTCCAGGGGCGGCTGGACTCATTGCATAGAAGACATTGGCATTGTCAGGAATCAGGAGCTCTGGCCAGGGCAGACATGATGGTCAAAAGCGGGCACAATCTCATACTTTCCCCACAAAAGACCTAGGTAATCTTCTGCCATTCACCAGTCTGCTCTGCAGAACAACCTTGGGTCCCTTCAGCCAGCACTAAGCCAACCTCATTCTCCTCTCATTCAGAACCTGGACAACCTCCCACACAAAGCCTGCACAACCTCATGTCTCTCCCTCCTCACGCCTGGGCAACCTCCTGCTATTTCCCTCTGGAGTCTAGACAAGCACACTGCAAGGTGGGACAAACTCGGGTCACTCATCCCAAATGACTTCCTGCTCATTCACCCTTCCCCCCACCAAATTCATGCTGCTCTCACCATGAACTTGGACAACTTGACTTTCTACATCCCCCTTGTAAAATCTGTGGCCCTCACTCTTGATAGCCAAAGCCAAGAGCCTTCTATGTTCCTTCCTAAAATCCAACCAACCCCATGTCATGTCCTTTAGCATGTCACTCTCTTGTCTCTCCTTCTTGAGAACTGGGCGACCTTCTACCTGTGTCTGTATTGAACAACGTGCTCCCCTACCCTGAATTTCAATACCATGTGGCCCTCCCCCGTGCCAAGTTCAGATAACTTCAGGATCCCCTTGCTGAGCTGGAGCAAGCTCATTTCCTCACAAATTCAAGCCTAGACCCTCTTTAGACTCCTACCCCACCAGGCTGAGCCTGAACCACCTCATGATCCTACAAATTGAAGCCAAGACAACCTCCTTTCCTCCCTCTCCCATTTGACCTTGAACAACTTCATTTCCCCACAAATCCTAAGAAGACACCTTTAGTGCTTCTCTCACTCACACAGCAAAGGCAACCTCAGGACCCTGCAAAATCGAGGCACCAATAACACTTCCTCTTACCCCCACCCTGTTTCATCTTACCCCTACTCTGTCAGAGCCACCTCCTGGCCCTGTTAGGCCAGGCTTGATTCTAGTCAGTCTGCTGCCCTTGGAGCTAACCCCCAGCCCAGCCTGCATGCAGTCGCTGCTCACCCCTGTCCCCAGGAAGGACTTGGAAGAGCTGGTAGTCCCGGGCCCAGGGCTGAGCCACATTGTGCTTTTCCAGGGCTCGCTGCACCACACTGGGGGCCTTGTCCTGACTAGTGAGCTGGGAAAAGATGGTGGGTGGTGAGGTGTGACAGCCAAGCCCCAGGGGGCAGGGCTGCCCAGCATGTTCCTGTCCCCATCCCTCCCTCACCAAGATGCTCCGATAGAGGTTCCCATGGTCATTGTCAATGCTGACGCGGATGACTCGAGCCTCCGATCCTGGCTGCCCCGGTACAGAGATGTGAGAGCTGCTCAGGGGCAAAGCCAAGAGCCGCAGGGCCGGCAGGTCCAGGCTCAAGGGCAGCTGTAGGCAGTGGGGGGGGGGTGAGTGGGGGAGAGTTTTATGTCCCCCTTCACAAGCGGAGCCTGGGGACAGGCAGTGAGGGTGCACTCACAAGCCCATATCCATGCAATCACATATGTGGTCTGTATGTGATCCATGCATCACATACAGACCTTTGTGCCCTGTGACGAAAACAAATTTACACGTGACCCATACACATGGCACAAAGCTGCGTTTATGCACAAGAAATCCCGCGTGCACAGACAGCAGCGAGTACACACACGCTTGTAATTGCTGTGCCTCCACAAGTCCGTGAACAACCCCATTCAGGGTCCCGTGGACACTGTGGATATTTATGCCCATGTGTCCCTTTAGACATGCCAATTCTTGGGGACACGCATATCCTTGCTGAAGTATAATCACACCCTGGAGTGCCTTGTGGGCGAGCTGAATTATCCAGATCAGAGCATAAGCCAGACTGAGGGATGGTCCCTCAGACAGAGCCATAAGATACACGTGGTCTCCTGGGCAGATACCCAGAGTGCTCAGCCAGACGTGTTCTTATGTAAATGCCTGGCTGTGACATCCCATGTACACACACAGACACACAAACACACACAGACAGATACACACAGCCCCGCAATGCACACAGGTAGGCCTAATACCTTGGTGTTGGGGCCCTGGGGCCCTGGAGAGGCCGGGGGACTGCCAGGAGGGTCTCTGGTTCTAGGACTAGATGGGGGGGACCCTGGGGACAGACTGCAGGAGACACAGAGTCTGAGGTCAAGTGGCTGCCCTGACCTCTGACCTTGCCATGTCTAGTCCCTTCACTGGGAGGCTCACCTAGAGGTGGGGGATGACGGGTCCCCAGGACTCCCAGCAGGGGATGACCGCCTCTCTCGGGACAGCTTTCTAAAGACAGACACAAGGGATGAGGATGAGCCTGGACTCGCGCCAGGAGCAGTCTCCCATCTCTGCCCACATCACTCCCCAGGTGCACCCCAAGACTCACACGCTGAGGCGCTTGGTGGGACTGATTCGCCGCCGGACATGTGGGGAGCTGGGACAGGAGGCAGCAGGTGGCTCAATGACACGGGAGACCCGATAGCTGAGGAGTCAAGGTTGGGGTGGGTTGGGGCCAGGAAGCAGCAAGGAATGAGGTGAAAGCTAGA